TTGTTAAGTGAATCTGGTTTCCCCATTGACTTTGCTTGCCAGAGCATCACAAAAAGGGGATCACATGACTCTGGGACCCTGAAACCGTCATAAATACGAGCCAGTTGCCAAGTGTTCCAAATTTTGATCGCACAATCATAGGGATGATGCGATGGTCAGAAACGTGAAAGTGTCATAAGTCATCTCTTTTTTCAGTGCCATTGTAATTCTGAAAAGTCACTAATCAAATGGCTATAAGTTGAGGACTACTGCAGTGACACAGTCAAACCACAGTAAGAACAGAATATGCCAACGGTAAGAATACTCAAGCCCTTCAACATTTGCCTGCCTTTATATTTGAAGTGCATCTGATTATTTCACAGTAAATTGTTGGCCATCCCAGCTATTCTGCAGAACATCCCACAAGATCCACAACAAGTTTGTACAATTCTCTATAAAGTCGAAGAAAGATCTAGACAGACTCATTTTCCATAATACAAGTAGTCCTCATTTAGTGACTGCCTCCTTTAACAACTGTATGCAGTTACTATGGTGTTTAAGAAATAACTTTATTACTACTCCTCTCATTTACGAATTGTGTAGGTCTGCAGAGATAGCTGAAGTAAGATCATAAATACAGTTGTAGTTTCATTTAGTGACCACTTTACTTAATAATCAAGTTGCCGGTCCTAAACAAAGACCACCTGTATATTTCCCCACCTTTAATTCAAGGACTATTAGGAGTCTGCAATTTTTAGCAGAAAATTATGTCTCTCTCTCCAAATATATATATATATATTTTCTGAATATAATGCTCAGGAAAAAGGCTCAGAATCTCCTTATCTGGTAGTGCCCAATCTTTTCATTTTAGACGTGGCTGCTTGGTTATTTTTTTTCCGAGAAAGAGAGGCAGAATATGCATAGGCCTAGATCAAGGTGGGTAACTATGGCCCCTTTATGACCTGTGGACTTCAACTCCCAGAATTCCTGAGCCAGGAATTCTGGGAGTTGAAGTCCACAGGTCGTAAAGGGGCCATAGTTGCCCACTCCTGCTTTAACCAATGTGTGAAGCCCAGCAGCAGAACAGCACTTCCTTTCACCCTTCACTACTTCCTGCCTCTCCTGGGCGCAAAAGAATAAGGGGGAACATCTTTCCAATTCTCCAGCCTGCCTTCCAATCCCGAAACCAGGGAGGAGGAGGCCAGTACTGGCACAAAGCTAGTAAACTATTCCCTCCTGGTTTCTGCAGTTACAAAATTAGAAAAGGGCTTTGCTCTTCGTCTTTAAAATAGCACATACTCATTCACAGCATGCATCATTTAAATGACTCGAGTTGTGGGAATCATTGCAATTGACGAAGTAAAAAAAGCTTGGAAACCTTAACAGCACATCAAATCAATCAAACCCTTAGGTTTTATTTATTTGTATCCCACCTTTATTATTACAACTCAAGGCAGCTAACATACCTAACACCCCTCCCTCCTATTTTCCCCACAACAACCCTGTGAGGTGGGTTTGGCTAAGAAAGTGACTGGCCCCAAGGTCACTCAGCCAGTTTTCCTGCTTAAGGTGGGACTAGGACTCCCTGTCTCCTAGTGATTGGCCCAAAGTCACCCAGCCGGCTTTCATGTCTGAAGTGGGACTAGAACTCAGTCCAAAGTTATCCAGCTGGCTTTCCTGCCTAAGGCAGAATTAGAACTCAGGATCTTCTGATAATTGGCCCAAAGTCACCCGGCCGGCTTTCCTGCTTAAGGCGGGATTTGAACTCACTGTCTCTTGGTTTCTAGCCTGGTGCCTTAACCACGAGATCAAACTAGTGCTTAGCAACTATGACTAACTGCATCTGCTCAGCTTCATCTCTGGTTCGCTTGTATCTTGATTTCTCTCCACGCCCTTTTCCCTTTGGTCAAGTTTTAGACTTCGAGGTTCCTCCAGCCAGCTGGCCAGCCTCCTTCCTTTGCTTCCTTTGCTGTTTACATGTGTGGTCAAGCCCAGTGATTTCGATTACATAAAAAAAAAAAAATCCCTCATCATCGCTGCCAGAGGGATGGTCCCTGGGGAACGCTTGCCAACCCAACTTCTTCACAGGGCTTCACAGACTTTTGCAGCCCTATTATTTTACAAAACCATCAAAGCCTCCCCTGGCCCTGAACTCCATCCTGCAAGATCCTTTGCTTTTGTTTTTGTTTTTCCCTCAGTACAAAATACCTGTGGACGCAGCTCCTCTTTAGCACAGGAGTGTAAATATTCAAAAGCTGCATCAACAAACACTTGCCTGTCATTTGAGGACAGCCTCTCTCCTGTGGCTGCTCTTTCTGCACTACAAGCAGTAAACGCTATCCTGAACTCAGAGCCCAGGTTTCTAAATACAGGAAGTCCTTGATTTATGACCCAGTTTAAGCCCCAAATTTCTGTTGCTAAGCAAGACACTTGTCAAATGTCAGTTGCTCCTTCTTCTGCATCTCTCAGCTATGCAGAAGCATTTGTTCCTACTTTTATTTTTGCTTTATTTTTTGGCTTAGAATGGTTTGATTCTACTCTCTTTCCTCTAGCTTTCTTATTCAGGTAGTCCTCGACTTACAACTACAGTTCAGCCCAAAATTTCCCTTGATAAACAGGACACTTAACAGTTGTTAAGTGAGTTATGTCCCATTATAAGGCCTTCTTTGCCACAGTTAAGTGAATCACTACAATTTAAGTTAGTAACACCGTTGTTAAGTGAATCCGGCTTCCCCACTGATGTTGCTTGTCAGAAGGTCGCAAATGGGCATTGCACGACTGCATTGTAACTCTCATAAATACAAGCCAGTTGCTAAGTGTCCGAATTTTGATCACGGGATGGTGGGGACAGTTATGAGTATGCAAAATGGTCAGAAATCACCTCTTTCAGTGTGATTCTGACTTGGAACAATCACTAAATGAATGGTTGTAATTCAAGGACTACCTGTACACATGTTCACTCAGATATCCAAGCCACCCAGTTTGGGGAAAACTGGCGGCTGGTGAAAGCTTTGGGGGATGCAGCCACAAGGCCTTCCGTCCAAAGAGGTCCATTTTCTCATTAGTAAATTAATCACTTAATGTACATCAAGTTAATCAGTCAATATTGCTAGTTTCTGGCCAAGATTTGTTTAATTTGTATATATTTTAATCTTGTACTTATAAATGTTATGTTGTATAGTATGCCTTATTTTAATTGTGATGCTTCTGACCCAGACTCAGAAGTAAAGCCACTGGATCCAGTCATTCCCCAAGGCAGGGCAACCAGATTCCCATGTTACTCTGCCCATGGCTAAACCATCATTTGGTCCTTTGATGGCGGGACTCCTCTGCGGAGCGTGGGGTGTACATGGAAAACCCATAGATGCACAAAGTACAGGTCGTCCTCGACTCACAATTCGTTTAGCGACCGTTCAAAGTTACAGCCCTGAAAAAAGTGACTTATGACCGTTTTTCACACTTACAACCATACGACATCCCCGTGGTCATGTGATCAAAATTCAGAATGCTTGGCAAGCGTCCCGGGGTCATGCGATCCCCTTTTGCAACCTTCTGACAAGCAAAGTCAATAGGGAAACCAGATTTACTTAGACTTAAGACTTAGTATAACTTTATGGTCACTTTGAATGTACACTAATCAGCCTACATTAAAAGGAAATTTCATTGCATCCATCTCTCAAAGGGTCACCACTTCCAACACTACATAAACATGACAAAATACACAATTTATAAATAAATAAAATAAATCGATATAGTGAGATAAAGATAGTGATATATAGATATAGATTATAGATAAATGGATAGATACAAAGAATAACTTTATTGTCACGTTGAATGTACACTAATCAGCATACATTAAGGAATGTAATGTATGTAAAGGAAATTTCATTGCATCCAGCTCTCAGAAGGGTCACCACTTCCAACATAAACTACATAAACACGGCAAAATAAATACAAAAATTATGCCTATACCCACATATATCATACGACCCAGAGAAACCACAGTCTCGTTCGGATGTGTACATGTCCACGGCAAGAGGAAAAAAACCAACCCTGCGACTGAGCCACCATATTACTCACTTAACACCCGCAGCGATTCGCTTAACAACGGTGGCAAGAGAAAAATGCGGTAAAACGGGGTAAAACTCACTTAAGCAGCCGTCTCGCTCAGCAACATCAACCTTTGGGGCTCAGGCTGTGGTCGTAAGTCGAGGACTACCATCCACAATTCCCCCCCCCCCCACGGATGTGTCCCTTTCCCCCCCCTCAACTCCAAGACCCATCAAAGGCTTCCTCATTTGGGCCCAACACCCCCAGCGATTCGCTTAACAAACGGTTGGCAAGCGAAAATGCAGTAAAACGGGGCAAATCTCACTTAAGCAGCCCTCTCACTCAGCAACAACCACCTTTGGGTGGGGGCTCAGGCTGTGGTCGTAAGTCGAGGACTACCATGCACGACCCATCAAAAGGCTTCCTCATTTGGGCCCAACCCCCTCCCCAGCGATTCGCTTAACGACGATTGGCAGGAAAATGTGGTAAAACGGGGCAAAACTCACTTTAACAGCCGTTTGGCTGAACATCCTAAATCTTGGAGGGGGGGCCTCATGTTGTGGTCGTAAGTCGAGGACTACCGTGCATACCCCTCCTCTCCCCCCCCCACGTGTCCCCCAACTCCAAGACCCATCAAAGGCTTCCTAATTCGGGCCCCACATCCCCAAAAAGCCACCCCCACTGGACCGGGGGCGGGGGGGAAGAAGAGAAGAGATGCAGGTCAGACACGGGCCGCCTTCTCACGACGCGCGTCTCCCGCTGCCGCCATCCTCCATCTTTGCGGGGGGGGGGTGAGTTCACCCACGACACCCCCTCTCCCCCCTCCCCCCGCTTTTCCATCACCGAAGTTACCTCAGAACCACCCATTTTCGCCGCCGCCGGGGCGCATGGGCCGTGTAGTCGGCGCCTCACGGGGCTGACCGTCGTCTTTCCCGCCCTCCCGCCAGCCAGTCAGCCTCCCCCTCGCTCACCGGCCTTGGTGGTGTCGCTGAGGTCGTGGCCGGCGGCGCTGCCCCGCGGATAGTCCCTCAGCTTCCTGCCGCTGAGGCTGAGGGAGCCGCTGGCCGCCGCCTCCTCCAGCGACCGCTCCAGCGAGCGCGTCCACGACGACGGCCCCGCCGCGCCGCAGCCCCCCGCCGCCAGGCTCCCGCTCGCCGCCGCTGCCGACGCCGGCATCAGCGTCGCGGAGCCGCCTCCGCCGCCACCGGAGCAGCCGCCCTCAGCCGCCGCCGCCGCGGCCGTCGCCATTTGCCCGCCCCCCGCTCTGCGCCTGCGCCGAAGCGGGCGGGCCGGCGTGGGCGGAGAAGGGCGGAAAGTGGCTTCCCGCGCGGAATTACGCCTGCGCAGAGCGGCGACAAACTTCCGGTTTTCCCCAGGCGGGCCGCGAGGCTTCTTGGGAGTCGTAGTCCAGAGTTCTAGAAAGATAAAAGGACTAACTTACATGAAGAAAGAGTATTATGTTAAGTAAAATATGAATGTTGTTTATAATATATTTAATAGGAATATAAATAAGCGAATATAATTATAAATATGGTTAGAATTATTTTGTTATATTAATCTTCTTATTGTTCCCATCACCCATCTCCTTCCACTTATGACAGTATGACTGTAACTTTGCTGCTGGTATCCTTACGATTTATATTGACTGTTTCCATATGACTATCATTAAGTGTTGTACCTTATGATTCTTGACGAGTGTATCTTTTCTTTTATGTACACTGAAGGCGTATGCACCAAAGACAAATTCCTTGTGTGTCCAATCACACTTGGCCAATAAAGAATTCTATTCTATTCTATTGCTATCAGTATAGGTGTTATCTTTTTTTCCCTTTTCCTTTTTGTAAAATGGTAAGCCCGGACAATACACTGTATTCAAAAAAATACTTATATATAAATAAGAAAGCCGACTTTAAAAAAAAAGAAAAGAAAATGAGCCTGAGTGGCGCAGCAGACTAATGCTACTGTTAAAGGTAATATTTAGCTTCCAGCTGCCTGCAATTACTGCGAGTTCAATTCTCACCAGGCTCAAGGTTGACTCAGCCTTCCATCCTTTCTAAGGTAGGTAAAATGAGGACCCGGTTTTTGGGGGCAATAAGCTGACTTTGTATAAAATATACAAAAGTATGAAGGCTATTGCTTAACGCATTGTAAGCCGCCCTGAGTCTCTGGAGAAGGGCGGCATATAAATTTTAAAAAAAGAAAAGGACTAACATACAGGTGGTCCTTGACTAACAGTCCGTTTTGTGACCATTCGAAGTTACAATGGCACTGTTGCAGCAGCATCTCGCGGATCACAGGATCAAGCTTTAGATGCGTGGTTACAAAGAGGAATCAAGAGTATTATTTCACATGTCCACTGTTGTGCAAGAAACTCCTTAAAACCCCTGGTGATGCTGTGTAACCCATATTTTTCTACTTTATCAAGTAGTAGGTTAGAGTCTTCTTTGTCAAATGCCTTACTGAAGTCCAAGTAAATTATATCAACAGCATTTCTCTGGTCCACTAATTTTGTCATTTTGTCAAAGAATGCAATAAGATTAGTTCGGCATGATCAGGTTTTGACAAACCCATGTTGGCTTTTGGTTATTACTTTGTTTGCTTCTAGGTGTTCGGTGATTTGTTGTTTGATTATCTTTTCTAGAATCTTCCCTGGTTATAGAGGTCAGGCTGATAGGTCTTTAGTTTCCTGGATCTATTTTTCCCCCCTTTTTTTTGAAGACGGGAACTACATCAGCTCTTTTCCAGTCTTCTGGCAGTTCCCCGGTGCTCCAGGACCTTTGAAAAATATCATTCAGTGGTTCTGAGATCTCGTCTGCCAGTTCCTTCAGAACCTTTGGGGTGTAATCCATCTGGTCCTGCCAGAGGTGGGCGGCACACAAATTAACAACCGGTTCGCCCAGCATCGAAAATGTGAGTGCGCATGTGCTTTGCTCGTGCGGCTTCCACGCATGCGCGCGGCTTTTAAAAATGCGGCTAAATAGGACCGCGTAGCGCCAAGCCACCCACAGGTCACAACTACCGGTTTGCTCGAACTGATCTGAACCGGCAGCAGCCCATCGCTGAGTCCTGGTGATTTGAACTCGTCTAGTGTGGACAGGTGCTTCTTTCCTATTTTAACTTGTGTTCCTAATCTGTTTTTTTGTGGTGCTGTATATATTTAGTTTTATATTTATTTATTTATCTATATTTAGTTGCTGGACCAGTGGGATTGTGCAGTGATTCTGAAAACATAGTTGATTGGCTCCTGCAAGAGGCCATCCGTGCTGTGATTGGTGTTGCTATAACGATTGGTTGCTAGGGGCGTGGAGGGAAGTTTTCCCCTTTTCCCGCCTTTCTTCTTCTGTGTGCTTTGTGATTTACCTCATGATGATGTTTCCTGTGATGAATCACCTCATGATGCTCCCATTTGCCCTACCTAGTTTGGTGTGTGTGTGTGTGTGTGTGTGGATAGATAGATAGATAGATAGATAGATAGATAGATAGATAGATAGATAGATAGATAGATAGATAGATATAGATATAGATATATGGATATATAGATAGGTAGATAGATATAGATAGATATAGATAGATATAGATAGATATAAAAAAAAGCCCAGGGACCCGAGTTCAGGGGTGAAATGCTCCCGGTTCAGACCGGATCTCCCGATCCGGTAGCGATGGTGGCAGGTGGCTCAGAGAACCGGTAGCAAAAATCCCTGCGCCCCCGCCCCCATGCCCAGCTGAGCCGTGCGATCATCAGAGGCTTTTTTTTTTTTTTACTTTTAAAAGCATTTTTTCTACAACCTCTTCGGCTGAAAAACTGCTTTTAAAAGTAAAAAAACCAGCCTGATGATTGCGCGGCTCAGCTGGGATCGTCAGAGGCTTTTAAAAGCATTTTTTCGGCCAAAGAGGTTGTAGAAAACATGGTTTTAAAAGCCTCTGAGGATCCCAGCTGAGCTGCCTGATCTTCAGAGGCTTTTAAAAGCATTTTTCGGCCGAAGAGGTTGTAGAAAAAATGGTTTTAAAAGCCTCTGATGATCCCAGCTGAGCTGCCTGATCTTCAGAGGCTTTTAAAAGCATTTTTCGGCCAAAGAGGTTGTAGAAAAAAATGGTTTTAATTTTTTTTTAAAGTTGGCCACGCCCACTAAGTCACATTACCCCCCCCCACACACACACACACACACAGAACCGGTAGTTACAAATTTTACATTTCCCCACTGCCCGAGTTCCAGTCTTTATTCGAATCAAGCCTTCTTTTTTTTTGGAACCTCCCTTTCCAAAGTCACCTCAAGAAGGATTGTCAGGATCAGTTGCAAAGCTTTGGGGTGAAAAAGTACATTTACGCACAATAACCCCTGGTTAACGTAATCATGGGTTCTTCAGCCCCATTTCCTAAGGTTGCACATGTCCTTTGAACCACAATCAAACCATGCTGGCTGTAGAATCAAGGAGGAATTTCCTGACAGTGAGAACAATTAACCAGTAGAAAAAGCTTGCCTTCAGAAATTGTGGGTGCTCTGTTTTAACAAAAGATTGGACAAGCGTTGGTCCAGAGTGGTATATAGGGGGTCTCTCTCCTGCTTGAGCAGGGGGTTAGACTAGAACAGGGGTCCCCAAACTTTTGGGCCTCAGGGACCACTACATTCATAATGTAAGAGCCTTGGTGGCGCAGCAGACTAAAGTGCTGTTAAGTAGCACCAGCTGCCTGCAATTACTGCAAGTTCAAATCTCACCAGGCTCAAGGTTGACTCAGCCTTCCATCCTTCCGAGGTAGGTAAAATGAGGACCCGGATTGTGGGGGCAATAAGCTGACTTTGTATAAAAAAAAGAACACCACTTGGGGGGGGGGCGAAAGCCCTAGTAAGCAGGTATATATGAAAGTATGAAGGCTATTGCTTAACACATTGTAAGCCGCCCCAAGTCTCCGGAGAAGGGCGGCATATAAATCGAACCAATAAATAATTTTAAATCCCATGGACCACTAATATGATTTGCCTAATAACCAGATGGGTGGGCGTGGCTAGGTGATCATGTGACTGGGTGGGTGTGGCCAACTCAATCTCACTTATGTCGAGGGCCGCCTCGCCGGCCCCTACTCGCCCCTCCCCTCCCAGCCCCTCCTCACCTACCCACCTGGGCTCCTTAGGGCCCCAACAGGAAGCAGTTGCTGGAGCTCAGCAGCCACCAGGAGAAAGAGTTGGCAAAACAGCTCAGTTCAAATTGGATCTGACCGAGGAGGAGGCTCGGCAGAAGCACCTCACTGAGGACTAGGAGCATACATAGGCTTTCCAAGCAGAGGGAAGACCTGCGGGAGCGCAAGGCCAGGTACCGGCGCCTGGAGGCTCAGTGGGCTGAGATGGTCAGCCGGTTCCAGGCCATGATGCAGTCCCAGTGGAACGAGGCCCTCCGGCTCTTTGCCACCAGCGGAGCTTCCCTCCAGCCTTCGCCCAAAGCCCCCCACCAGGAGGCCGAAGCAGACCCCAAGTCGGAATTTCTGTCCCCCTCCGACCCACAGAAAAAGACCCCGAAGGGGGAGACTCTCTGCAGCAACACAAACATTCATTGCACGTATCCATCCCAGGGGCCGTAGTTTGAGGACCCCTGATTTAGTCCAATATTAAAAATGCAAGTAATTTTTCTGCGGACCACCAAAATTTTCTCACAGACTACCAGTGGCCTCTTCCTTCCCTACTTTCTGCTGCCAATTAAAACCCGCAAACTTGTAACTTTTTATTTTTTTTATTTTTAAAAAGTCCAACAGCTTTAGAATAGATCCAAATGTATTAACTTCTCAAAAAAAATACCCAAAGGTACAGATTTAAAGTATATTCTCCTTAAGTACAAACTAACTTTCTTGAGATGCATTGCATCAATTTTTTGCATCCGGCTTGATGCAAAAGGTTTGTTCGTTTTGTTTTTAATTGCACCCTGGCACAAACCAAACGCAGGATGGTTCTCAGCATACAGCCTCTTTCCGTCTTCCCCAACCTGGTGCCCGCGAGATGGGTTTTGGCTACTACAATGGCCCTAAACTGATGGGGGATGATGGAAGCTTTTCCAACCCGTCTGGTGGACACCGGATTAAAGGAAGGCCGGTCTTCTTCATTTTTAACAGACTTCCAACAGAATTTTTAGTACACAATTTAAAAAAAAAAAAAATGTCCCAAACTTTTTCCGCTGTAATGATATATAGAACAATGTTCTTCAGCCTGGGCAACTTTAAGATGTGTGGACTTCAACTCCCACAATTCTCCATCCAGCATAATTTACTCTCTTCTGATCCCTTCCTCTGCAGTCTCTCCACTTTTAAGGGGCAAGAGAAAAAGAAACAGGCATGGCTGGCTGGAGAATTCTGGGAGTTGAAGTCCACACATCTTAAAGTTGCCAATGTTGAAAAACACTGATATAGAAGATTTAAAAAGAAAAAAAATCAGAAACAACAGAACATTAATCGTCATGGGCCATAGCTATTTTTTTAAAAAATGCTCTAAGGATTACCCAAATCTTCTTTGCAAACTCTTCTTTGCTTTGTCACAATAAAACTGAAACTGAAAATTTCAATGTTAACTTCTGACACTAGGCCAACTAATCAGGATCCTCTTATGGACGTTTGAAGTCCAGAAATTCAGTATGTTCTCGCAGGCAAATTCCATTATTCATCTTAGGGGCTCCAAATATCTCCTGGTTGGAAGTCCAAATCAATCAAACAAACATGCAGAGAGTTTGGGGGTATATGCTGAGATGTTGACTCCACCACTTCTGATCCCTTGATTACGACAGGAAGGTCCCTTCGTGGAACTACCGCTAAGTAGAGGAGTCACAAAAGTGCACGTCTCTCACTACACAACAAAGCAACCATCAACAGAACTCGGAGGCGGGGGGGTGGGGATGGGACGTTAAAGGAGACTAGGCTCATTTCAGTGGAGGATGCCCTGAAGGAAAACGAGTGGCTCGCTTCTTGTGACCGAAGGACAAAAATCGAACTCGAGGCGGTGGCAGGTTTTACTCCAAAGATACTCGCACGTTCGTTTCGCAAGCCTACGGACCGCATCCGTGCTAGCATCGCCGGGAAAGGCCTTGACGGGGATCCCCCAAATCACCTTCACGTCAATTATTCCACCCACCCCACCCTCAATTGCTTCTGATTTGGGGGGGTCAGCTAGAAGAAAACGGGAGGCACAGGACCGTTCGGACGAAACGGCCAGCAAAAGTTTTAAGAAGAGCAGAAACTGACCTTCCGTGCAAGGCCTGTGGCCCAAAAACTAAAAATCTAACCAGGAGGGCGAGTGTATAATTTTTTTTGTCATCTTTGGGGCGGAGCGTAACACCGACTGGCATCTTCAAAAAACAAGCACAAGAACAACGAAAAGCAAATAGGATTTTCCCCTTCTTGCCGGGGCTGAATTGGACCTTCAGAAATCCAGGCAAAGTGTCTCTTAAGTAAATAACCAAAAACGTGCTGCGTTTCCTTGTTATATCGGAATATGAGAGGGTTGGGTTGTGGTCTAACTATTTCAAGCAGGGGGGGCGGGTGGTCCAACCTTGCCCCCTTTTTTAAGAGTTGTGGCCTTCAACTCCACACGGCTGGCTGGGGAATTCTGGGAATTGAAGTCCGCGAGCCTTAAAAGCGGTTCAAGGTTGGACATCCCGGTATAAAGTAAGGGTAGTAAATGAAGGGGGGGGGGAGAAGGGATTCATTTCCTTCGGGATGATCTTGACACAAAGGTCCCAACGTCTGCCACGACTTGCTGGACCACAGTCTCTCCAGCTCCTTCGAAGGGGAGGGGGGCCTCTTCTAGGCCACCGTCACAAAACGGCTGCCCTTGTTCTGAGCCAGAGCTGTCCTTTGTTCCTTCAGGATCCCGAAGCGCTCGTTGAGGGTCATGCTGGTCTGTAAAGCAGAAAAGAGAGAAGTTGTTACGATATTATTAAGCACTGATGATGTTACCTAGTTTGGTAGTGAAATGTCTGCGAGAAAACCACCAAGCTCGGAGAACAAACCAAGGACTCCACAGTATTATTATTATATTATTATTATTGGTTAGTCTTTGGTGAGATTCACAGCCTTTGAGGCTGGTTCATAGCTCAGCAGCTCGAGTCCTAATCAAGGACCTAGGAACGGTTAAGGTATCGTCGGAGGATGTAAGCTGTTCCGAGTAAGGTGGTTTTTTGTAGAGTCAAAATGTTCAAGTCCGGCAGATTTAGAATTTCTAAATAGCGGGGTAGCCCTTTGGGTATTGCTCCAAGGGCTCCAATTACAATCGGGACAACACACGATTTCTTTTTCCACAGTCGCTCAACTTCAATTTGTAAGTCCCGGTACTTTGTGATTTTTTTCTTGCTGCTTATCTTCAATCCGTGCATCACCAGGTATTGCAATGTCAATGAACCATACTTTTTTCTTTTCAACTATTGTTATGTCAGGTGTGTTGTGGACCAAGTGCCTGTCAGTCTGAATCCTAAAGTCCCACAAGATCTTGAGTTTCTCATTCTCTAAAACTTTCTCAACCTGATGTTCCCAGTGGTTTTTGCTTATTATTATTATATTATTTATATTATTGTTGTTGTTGTTGTTGTTGTTATTATTATTATTACCGTGTTTCCCCAAAAATAAGACCCTGTCTTACATTTTTTTGAACCCTGAAATAAGCACTTGGCCTTATTGCCATGTGCTCAAAAACCCGATTGGGCTTATTATCAGGGGATGTTCTTATTTTGGGGAAAACAGGGTATTATTATTTACTTTATTCATTAAACATGAAACTCAGTCAACTGAACATTTAAAAATGTGTCACAAATACCACTGAATGATGCTAATGGCTGAGATGAGTTGCTGCCAGCGTGCTACGTAACAACCAAGTACCTTCTTAAAATATATTATGATGATGATATTACCTCTTTTATTCATTAAAAATGAAACTCAGTCAACTGGACATTTAAAAATGCATCACAAATACCATTGACTGGTGCCAATGGTAGATAGGGGTTGCTGCCAGCGTCCTAGGTATCAACCAAGTATCTTCTTAAAATATATGATGTTCCGAGTAGCGCAGTTTTTTGCAGTTCTGCTGGTGTTATTGCAGGGAGCTGCAATTTCTCGATGAAATGCTGCGCTTCGTTAAGTGATTCGCATGGTCATCAAGCAGACCCAGCTTCCTCCATTGACTCTGCTTGTGGGAAGCCAGCTGGGAAGGTCGCACATGAGGAAGCTTGCGATCATCGTAAATCCCTGTGGTTGCCAAGTGCTCAAATTTGGACCATAGGGATACTACCGATGGTCGTACAGCGCGTGGAGGACCAGTTTTTCCCGTTTCTCAGCGCTGCTGCAAATTTGAACAGTCGCTAAACCTAGGGCCACCTGCGCAATGCGGATGCCCAAGCTTATCGGGGCTGAAAAGAACGGCGCACTCAATTTTGGACGACGGTCAGATCCCAAGAACCAACCTGCTTCCCGACACTGTTGATGTCGAATTGCAGAGGGACACCTTTGGGGACCTTCTTCTCTTCCGACGGCTCCTTCTTCAGGAGAAAGGGGGGTATGAGATTGCTGGTGAGTCTTGGCTTCAAAGAGCTGTAGAGCAAAAGAAAAAAAAAAAAAAAGAAGCCAGATTGTGATAGGACACCGGGCTCACCTTGGATGAAAGGTTTGCTTCACCATAACTAGAAAACATCTGGGTCTGGGGGATATTCGAATGGGGGGAAAAAAGTGGTTTTTGTAGAAGAAGGACAGGCAGAGACCGGGGGTGGAGTCAAGCGAGGAATAAGCCTGAAGTCATTACGTTCCCACATGCGGTCCATGTCCAACTTCTCTTCAATTCCTTTATTCATTAACTCCATTAAAATTCCATTAAAAAATTGCTGGTGATCTTCTACCACTGCACCGTAGAGAGTATTTTAACTTACTGCACCTGTGTATGGTTTGCCAATTGCACAGTGGCAGATAGGACAGCGCTCCAGAGGATCAACGTCATTGCCCAGAGGATCACTGGTTGCCCCCTCCCCTCTTTGGAAGAGCTTTATAGCCCCCGGCGCCTTAAGAAAGTTCAAAACATTCTTAAAGATTCTGGCCACCCTTTTTTTTTTTTTTAACTATTACCATCTGGCAGCCGGTACAGGACAATAAAGACAAGGACAAACCGGCTGAAAAACAGCTTCTATCCCAGAGCAGTAACTATATTGAATTCTACGGTGCAGTGCAATATTAATGCAGTATCCGGGTTGTTAGGAAATGGCTACTGTCTAACCAGTTGGTCAGGCAATATATAAACTATCAATACATGTTTGTCAAAAGGTATTATATTGCTTTAAGACTGTATTGCATCATCCTGTATCCTGATTGGCTAAGCTCTGTAGCCAATGTGCTTAAGGGGAAGCCTGAATCATGGCTTGTGGACACTACACCATTTTATCTGCTTATTTGCTGTTACGCTCTACCTGTTCTCTCTGTATGATCATTGTTTGATCATTGCTACTTGTTGCTTTCTACTATTTATTGAATGTTTTAATACTGAACGTGTTCCTGTTTGAAACTCAAGAAGAACTGTGTTATTGTGTAATGACAACAACTGGTAAGAAGACTTTGTACTTGGAATATCCCTGAATTGGTATTTTAACTATCGCCTTATCTGTGTATGACTTGGGATTGTTATTGGAGTTTGCTTTACTTTTTTCTAAAAAGTAAAAGACTACCACAACTCAGTGTGTCAGTATATTAACTGTGGTTATTCACTCTCAGCCGCTTTCATGTGCATACTCAAGGGGTACTCCGCTCAATAACCCATAACATCGGTTATGAGCCAAGAATATCCTTAACAGGGGTTTTCAATTCAGTTGTATAGAACGTGAAGGATGTATGTTTGTGTTTGTTTTAGTTTTATAGTTTTCTTATGTACAGTAAGATGTACACTGAAGATGGCATTTAATTTCGTTGTACGAGGTGCAATGACAATAAAGTAAACTAACTAACTTTTAGGTCTACGGAGATTCTCAGTCATCCTGGTTGTCCCAAAAGTGCTTATTTCCAGAGGCAACTGGGCTTTGTTTTTTTTTTTTAAAGACGTTTCGCTTCTCATTCAAGAAGCTTCTTCAATCTGAAAAATCTTCTTGGATGAGAAGTGAAACATCTCTGTTATTCTAATTTAGGACCGTTAGTTGACTAGAATCTTGTGAGTGGTGCCATGGCCTAGAGGTGGAGCTCTCGCCTCACAATCAGGAGGCTGTGAGTTCGATCCCAGGTAGAGGCAGATATTTCTCTCTCCGGGCACAATGAGAATACATCTGCTGAACAAAACTCAGTACTGGCGACAGGAAAGGCATCTGGCCAGTAAAACACTCAGCTCCATTCGGTTGCCCCGACTCCACCCCACAAGGGATTACAGGCTCATTAAACAACAACAAAAAAGTTCACTATAATCTGATTGTCAGGGTGGCAATTAATCCCATTCTGCTTTTGGGTAATTGCGCCTTGATTAGAGAATGGATCGTGACCTTTCCTTGAAGGATACTTTAAGAAAATAAAACCGAGATATATTCTAATAAACACTTTTGATTATAAAGAAGTAAAAAAATCTTACTAGCTAATTAATTACATCTTGGCAGCGTTCCTGCCGGACCTCTCTTGTCCGGAGAACAAAGAAAAATTTAGAGAGAAGAAAAAAATGTAGACATGCGCAGTAGTTACTGATAAGAACTTGGCAAGCTACGGTAAGTCTGAAAGTTCAAAAATAAGAGCTCATCTGGTAAATACAAAAACGCAGTGACACTGATGTATAAGCATAAGCAATAAATGAGCTTAACTAGAATCTAATGTGTGGTCCCGATTCTTCGTGCCTGACAGTTTTACTCACATTGGAGAGAGAACAGCACCAGGATTGTCAATGGAAATAGTCAAAATCCCTCCATTTCTGGTAGACATTCGCCATCTGCTCGGAAAGCACAGCTCATTAATTTACAGGATTACTCAAATTAATTTACAGGAAATTCATAATGTAGCATATGGACCTCACTGTGACTTTTTTTTTTTGTTGTTGCTATAAACCTCATAACCACATCATTCATAGCTGTATCTGGAAGAGCCGAGGTGGCGCAGTGGTTAGAATCCGGTATTGCAGGCTAATTCTGCCGATTGCCAGCGGTTCGATCATGACTGGCTCAAGATTAACTCAGCCTTCCGTCTTTTCGAGGTGGGTAAAATGAGGACCCAGATGGTTGGGGGCAAGAGGCCGACTCTGTAAACCGCTCAGAGAGGGATGGAAAGCTATGTGAAGTGGTATATCAATCTAAGTGCCTTTCCTTCCTTCCTTCCTTCCTTCCTTCCTTCCTTCCTTCCTCCCTCCCTCCCTTCTGTGGTGGTGCAGTGGTTAGAATGCAGCATTGCAGGCTAACTCTGCCCACAGCTAGGAAGTTCGATCTGTGGAGAAGTATATAAATCTGAGTACTATTTCTCTCTCTTCTTCCCTTCCTCCCTTCCTTGGTTAGAATGAAGCATTGCAGGCTAACTCTGCCCACAGCTAGGAAGTTCGATCCTGACCTCCTGAAGGTTGACTCAGTCTTCCGTCCTTTCGAGTTCGGTAAAATGAGGACTCAGATTATCGGGGGCAAGGTGCCGACTCTGTAAACTCTGTAAACTCTGAGCAGTTTACAAATTGCTCAGAGAGGGCTGCAAAGCACTGTGAAGTATATAAGTCCACGGGCCATTGCTCTCTCTGCGTGGGTTTACATGAATGATGCTGGAAATCAGCTTTCAAATCACTGAATTCTAGTTTTCCGCGAGTTCTATTTCCTCTCAGTAAATTATACCAAATTATATGTAGTCCTCGACTTACAACCACTCGTTTAGTGACCAGAGTTACAACAGCACTGAAAAAAGTGACTTAGCAGGACTGTATGACTTTGGCAATCTCCCCCGTGGTCACGCGATCAAAAGTCAGCTGCTCGGCAAATAGCTCACATTTATGACGGTTTCAGGTTTTCCCGGGTCACGCGATCCCCTTTTTGCGACTTTTTAACAAACCGAGTCGACAGGGAAAGCAGTTTCACTTAACAACCGTGTTGCTAACTTACCAACTGCAGTGATTCACTTAACAACCGGGGCAAGACGGGTCGTAAATGGTTCCAAACTCAACAACTGTCTGGCTTGGCAACAGAAATTGTGGCCGTAAGTTAAGGACTACCTGTATTTACCGAAGGAGAGGCAGAGACTGGAGGCAGAGTCAAGAGAGGAAGCAACCTGGCATGCTTACGTTCCCGCAAAGAGTCGAAATCCAACCCCTCTTGAATTCTGTTAACTGTTATCTGCCGTAGAGCCAAGTTAGTGTTGATGATTAAACCATTAAAGCAATAAATCAACTTAGCTGGAACTTAAAACAGGTAATCCTTGACTTACGACAGTTGGTTCAGTGACTGTTCCAAGTTTACGACACTGAAAAATGTGAGTTATGATCGGTTTTTGTAAGTTTAACTCACTTAACATTTCACTGAGCTACCGTATTTTTCGGAGTATAAGATGCACTTCCCCCCCCCAAAAAAGAGGGTGAAAATTTGGGTGCGTCTTATGTAGCCCCACCCACCTGCCGGCCCCCACCCTTTGGCCTCTGCCTCCCAGCAATTTACCTCCTTGCAGCAAACAGCAAACTGCCCGTTTCAGCTTCAGCACAGTCTGATTAGCACAAGCAGCTGATTGTCTGTTGGATCAACCTCCCGACCCTCAGCTGTTTCAGGCTGCAGGGATTGCCATTGCCTATTGCCGCGCAGGCCTCCGCTGTTTGCTGCAAGGAGACAGACTTTTTTTTTTTTTGTGCTAATCCGGCTGTGCTGAAAATGAAAATGAAACTAAAGCAGGCTGTTTGCTGCAAGCAGGCAAATTGCTGGGAGGCAGAGACAGATTTTCTTTTCTTGTTTTCTTCCCCAAAAGAGGTAAGTGCGTCTTAATAGTCCGAACTGTCTTAAACTCCGAAAAATATGGTACATACATTTTGGGCTCAATTCTGGTCGTAATTCAAGGACTACCTGTGCAGAATCAAAGAGATCTCTTATTTAATTCGTTTCTCCAACAGCCTACCAGCTCCTCCTTCCGACCCAATTGAATTCCCACACTGCATTTCTGGATTAGTTTGCAAGAACGAACCAAAAAAAATAAATAAAAAATAGCCGCAGTCCTTAAAAAGATGCAGAACTGAGATATGCCAACCCAAAAGAAAACGAGAGGACAGATTGGTGATTGCTCGGTCTTTGGAATACCTACGGGCGAGTCCGTTTGGCTCCCTGGTTTCTGTGATCAGCTTCCGGATGGACTTGTGCTTGCACCTGGGGGATGGGAAAAAGGAGAAAGAAGGAGAAAGAGGGAAGGGAAGGGAAGGGAAGGGAGGGAAGGGAAGGGAAGGGAAGGGAAGGGAAGGGAAGGGAAGGGAAGGGAAGGGAAGGGAAGGGAAGGGAAGGAAAGGAAAGGAAAGGAAAGGAAAGAAAAGAAAGAAGGAAAGGAAAGGAAAGAAGAAGGGAAAGGAAAGAAAAGAAAAGAAGAAGAGAGAAGGGAAAAGAAAGGAAAGAAGAAGAGGGCCAGGAAAGGAAGGGAAAAGGAAAGGAAAGGGAAAAGGAAAGGAAAGGAAAGGGAAGGGAAGGGAAGGGAAGGGAAGGAAAGGGAAGAATTAATGAAAGGAGAAAGAGAGAGAAAGGAAGAAAGGAAAGGAAAGGAAAGGAAAGGAAAGAAGAAGAGAGAAGGGAAAGGAAAGGAAAGAAAAGAAGAAGAGAGAAGGGAAAAGCAAGGAAAGAAGAAGAGGGCCAGGAAAGGAAAGGAAAGGGGAAAGAAAAGGAAAGGAAAGGAAAGGAAAGGAAAGGAAAGGAAAGGAAAGGAAAGGAAAGGAAAGGAAAGGAAAGGAAAGGAAAGGAAAGGAAAGGAAAAAAGAATAAATAAAAGGAGAAAGAGAGAGAGAAAGGAAGAAAGGAAAGGAAAAGAAAGGAAAAGGAAAGGAAAGGAAAGGAAAGGAAAGGAAAGGAAAAAGAAGAATAAATGAAAGGAGAAAGAGAGAGAAAGGAAGAAAGGAAAGGAAAGGAAAGGAAAGGAAAGGACAGGACAGGACAGGACAGGAAAGGAAAAAGAAGAATAAATGAAAGGAGAAAGAGAGAGAAAGGAAGAAAGGAAAGGAAAGGAAAGGAAAGGAAAGGAAAGGAAAGGAAAGGAAAGGAAAGGAAAGGAAAGGAAAGGAAAGGAAAGGAAAGGAAAGGAAAGGAAAGGAAAGGAAAGGAAAGGAAAGGAAAGGAAAAATTCAGATACTTATGTATAGCAAACTAAGCAAGTTGAGGCATGCAAGGAAAAATAGAGTTACAAAAAGTCCTTCTATTGGCTCGATCAGTGTTTCTTAACCTTGGCAACTTTTAAGATGTGCGGACTGCAACTCCCAGAATTCCCCAGCCGGAATTCTGGGAGTTGCAATCCGCCCTTCTTAAACTTGCTAAGGCTGACAAACACTCTTACTCGATGCTTACGGACTTTTGTGAAAGCTTCTAAAATTCATTTTTTTTTCATATTTCTACACCTAGAATTAAACCACCACTTCCAGTTCGTTGGCAGCAGGAAGGGCAAAGGTGGAATAACAGAGTGGGAAGGGACCTTAGAGGTCTTCTAGTCCAACCCCCTGCTCAGGCAGGAAACCCGATACCCTTTGTCCCAAGGATGCCCCACACCCAAATAGGAATCTTAAAAGCCTCTCACCTTTATAATTCAGCCAAGGGTACCCACAGTCCTGGGTGCTTAGTGGTTTTCTTGCAGGCATTTAATGACCCCACTAGGTAACATCATCAGTGCTAAAAGGGAGGGGGTTGTGGCGAGGAGGAGGAGGAGGAGGAGGAGGAGGAGGAGGAGGAGGAGGAGGAGGAGGAGGAGGAGGAGGAGGAGGAATTGTTGTTCTGTGGGGTCCTTGGTGCTCTCTGAACTTGGTGGTTTTCTGGAAGACGTTTGGTGACCCAACTAGGTAACATCATCAGTGCCAGAAGGAGGGGGGTTGTGAAATTATGATGGAGATGGAGGAGGAGGAGGAGGAGGAGGAGGAGGAGGAGGAGGAGGAGGAGGAGGAGGAACCTGATGCACTCTGAACTTGGGTTGTTTTGTTGCAGACATTTCATTACCCCACTAGGTAACATCATCAGTGCTGTAAGGGAGGAGGATGAGAAGTTGGGGGACTTGGTGCTCTCTGAGCTTGGCTGCTTTCTTGCAAACGTTTCATTACCCAACTAGGCAACATCACCAATGCTAGAAGGGAGTAGGGTTTGCTCTCTCATCAGCCACCAACAGGGATTAACACCAAGATTAATACTAAAAAAATCAGTAAGTAAATAATAATCCGGTCAACATAACTACCATCTCAGATAAACAAGTTAACAGCAAACAACAGCCTAACCAAGGAAACCCCAAGGCCACGCCCACCAACATTAACAGGCCAAGCCCCTTTTGTGCCTAAGCAGAGAGCAAACCCCACTCCCTTCTAGCCCTGATGGTGTTACCTAGTGCGGTAATGAAATGCCTGAAAGCTAGGCTTCCCCCAGGAAACGGCCCCCCCAAAGGGAACCAACCTCTTGAGTGACAAGGTTTTCAGATCGGTCAAATCTTTCCCCTCAGATTGACAGGTCCTTCCAACAGGAGAAATGCAGATCTGCAGATTTACCTTCAGGCCCCGCCGGAAGAGGAAAGTCGCCTGGCGCGAATCTTTCTGCTGGTATAATTTATTCCCAATTCTGGTGGAAAGGGACTGTATGCTCGGCCTGTAAATATAGCAAATAATCATGACTACATAATCCTTGAATCATTTATTGCAAGGGATGGGGGAACCATGGCCCTTTTAAGGCTTGTGGACTTCAACTCCCAGAGCCATACTGGCTGGCTCAGGAATTCTGGGAGTTGAAGTCCACAAGCCCTAAAGGGGTCGTAGTTCCCCAAATCTGATTTATTGCCACGATACAGGTATTTATTTATTTATTTTATTTCTATACCGCCTTTCTCCCGTAGGACTCAAGGCGGTGTACAGTCAAGAAAAATATACACAAACATCATAAAATTGTTAATTAAAATTATTATAATTATTAGAATTTTAAAATTATTATTATAATACTGACAGGTATGCTGTCAGGATTTAAAAGGGATGCCCTAATTAAATCATGAGCCTCTTGAGCCAAGCTTCAAAAATATTAGGAGCTTCATGTCAGCACCTTCCCAATTGAAGCCAGCTCTGACCCTACGTAATTTACGCCCCAATTATGATCCGGTTTCCCGTCCCCCCCACGATGTGTCATCAATCACATTCCCAACGGAGCAATCTTCGGTTGCTGTAGGTAACCCTGGGATACAGCCTTGAGAGAGATAAGTCTGGAATGTGCATCTGTCTTTGGCTGCCATGCCGTTTGGTCGGTTTCCCATCCCCCCTTGCTTATGGCAACTCGAGAACAGGCCAGGGATGCTTTGCGAGTTGACATTTTCCTTGATTTACAACAATCTGTTTAACGACCATTCAAAGTTACAGTGGCATGGAAAAAAGGCCCAGTCCTCGCTCTTACGACTATTACAGCGCCCTCACAGTCAGATGGTGAAAATTCGAGTGCTTACAACCACCATGGATTTAAGACAGTTGCAATGTCTTGAAGTCACGTGACAAAACCGTTTGCGACCTTGCCAAGAAAAAAGGCGGATCTACTTAATGACACGATTCACTTAACGACAGGTGCAAAAATGGTCATAAAATGAGGCACGACTCGGTTTATCACTTAACAACAGTTCAGGGTTAATTGTGGTTGTTAAGTTGAGGACTATTTGCATTGTTGCAGAGCGACAAAAGGGAATTTCCTGAATTGAACAGGTCACAGTCTAAAATTTTATCAGGTAGAGAAATAAGAGCCGATTCAAGCGGAGTACCAACAGATTCGATGACCGTTCAGAGTTATAACGGCACTGAAAAAAGTGACTTATGACCATTTCCCCACACTTATGACCGTTGCAGCATTCCCATGGTCATGTCATCAAAATTCCGACGCTTGGCAACCGACTCGTATTTATGATGGTTGCAGGATCTTGGGGTCATGTGATTCCCCTTTTGTGACCTTGTGACAAAGCAAAGTCAACTGAGAAATCAGATTCACTTAACAACCGTGTGACTCACTGAACAGTTGTGGTGAGTCACTAAACAACTGTGAAAAGAAAGGCTGCAAAACGGGGCAAAATTCATTTAACAACTGTCTCACTTAGCAAGAGACATTTTGGGCTCAATGGTGATCATAAACCAAGGATTACCATGTTTCCCTGAAAATAATCATCTCCAAGCCTTACTCCCAAGTCGACCCTGTTTCCTTAATTGTTCCTGACTTCTGGCAGCTCTGCGTATGCGCACACCGGGAACAGGCTCACGCTGTTCTTCAGCCTCGCTGATGTCAGACTCCGGAGGCATCAAAGAACTACCAGATGGTCTTGGCCTCCTCTCTGCCTACGACGCAGAGCCCTCGTCCGAGCCTTCCCCAGACTCCAGGACTGGCCCACGTTCCTCCTCAACCTCCTCACTGTCTGAATCTGCTGCCAGCTCTGCTGGCCGCTGGCAGGCCACAACACCTGCCTCCCCACCACTCGCCCCATGGCTGATGAAGATCTTCACTGGGGCTTATTTTGGGATAGGACTTATATTAGGCACATGCTAAAAAAAAAAAATCAGGCTAGGGCCGTGATGGCGAACCTGTGGCACGCGGAGCCATATTAGTGGGCACACCAGCTCAGCTCTGGGGCGCATGCGCGCGCTGGCCAGCTGATTTTCGGGCCTTCTGGGCCCACCAGAAGTAGGGAAACAGGCTGTTTCCTGCCTCTGGAGGGCCTGGGGGGTGGTGGGGGTGGGGAAGGCCCGTTTTTCTTTCTTACCTGGCTCCAGATCCTCTCTGTGTATCTGGGAACGGCGAAAACAGTCTTTCCCACTCCCTTGGAGGCCCTACGGAGGCTGAAAGGGCCCATTTCCCCACTCCCGATGGGACAGGAAGTGACATTTTTTCCTGTCCCCAGCCTCCAGAGACTCCTAGAGAGGCTCCTACAGACTCCTAGAGAGGCTCCCAGAGACTCCTAGAGACGTTCTGGAAGCTGGGGACAGCAAAAAATGTCACTTCCTGTCCCACCGAGAGTCGGGAAATGGGCCCTTTCAGCTTCCGTAGGGCCTGCAACGGAGTGGGAAAGGCTGTTTTCGCCGTTCCCAGATACACAGAGAGGATCTGGAACCAGGTAAGAAAGAAAAACGGGCCTACCAGGCCATCATGTGCCAGGAGTGGGGGGGAGGGGGTTGCACACACGTGTGTAGGCACGTACGCGCGCAACCCTTCCCAGCCCCCCCCCTGCTGGCACGCAATGGCAAAAAGGTTAGCCATCACTGGGCTAGGGCTTATTTTCCGGTTAGGTCTTATTTTCGGGGAAACACGGTACCCGTATAACGAATCCCTTTCTTTATATCTGGAGGCTTCCCCCAAGGTCCAAACATCAAGGAAGCTTCTCCGAAAGGACCAGACAAGCTTACCTTCGATTTAACAAGGTAGGTCTTCGGAACCGGGCTCCTTGCTTCCTCTGTAATTCGGGTTGTCTCTGGACGGGCATCTTCCTTTTCAAAACGGAGTAATTCCTCTGCAGGTTCTTTAGGGAGATACACAAAAGTCAGGTGTGTGCATATCCAGAGGAAGAAAAAGAAAATCAAAGCCCCTCCCCCCCCAGGTGCTTTTTCTCTGGATTTTCTTGTTTTTTTTCTTTTGAAGACGTTTTGCTTCTCATCCAAGAAGCTTCTTCACCTCTGACTGGATGGTGGGGAATGGAAGGATTTATACTCCTTGCAGACAGCTGGTTATTTGCATCCTTTTAAGAGGGGTTGTTGAAGCACTTGGAGGTTTACCTGCGTCCTCAGGATCACCTGAGTGGTGCAAAGGGTTCCTGTAGCTTGCAATTTTTCCCTCTGGAAATCCATTCCTGCTCCCACACCATTCAAAGGGGGTTCATCCCAAATAGTATAGCTAAAAGATAAACCTCCAAGTAGCCTCAACGACTCTCTCAAAGGATGCAAATGACCAGCTGTCTGCAAGGAGTATCAATCCTTCCGTTCCCCACCATTCAGTCAGAGTTGAAGAAGCTTCTTGGATGACAAGCAAAACGTCTTCAAAGAAAAACCAGGAAGTCCAGTTGCCTCTTGAAAAAAAGGCACCTTTGGGACAACTGTGACCAGGATGACTGAGAATCTCCATTGACATTTACCATCAAACTACAATTCCCAGCAGCCCTTGCCAGAACATTGAGAGCGAGAACGGAATAGAACTGAAGTTCAACACTATTTGAGGGACCTTTCTACATAGATTATTTTTAAAATGTCTTAATAATGATAAGACGGACATTCCCAAATTAATTAAGGGGATGAGGGACTTAAGTATTCAAAAGCAATCAGGTCTCAAACAGGCTTAAAATACAATAGATTACAATAGACCTTGAATCAAAGCCCCCCCCCCCTGCCCAACTAAACAGAGAAGCAGATCCCAAGATCTCGAGGTTAGACCGGAGCTATATCCCCATCCTAGGAGAAGCCTGGAGATCAGGCAGGAAAATGACTTCAAGGATCAAGTGAGGATTCTAAAGAGAAACACTCGCCTGGGGAATTCTGGGAGTTGAAGTCCACAAGTCTTAAAAGTTGCCTCGTTTGGAGACTCCTGACCTAATGCAAGGCTCTGGGAATCATTAATGTCAGGTACAGGTAGTCCCTGACTTAGAAAAGTTCGTTTAGTGACCTTTCAAAGTTACAATGGCACTGAAAAAAGTGACTTTTTCACACTTATGACCGTTGTGGCATCCCCAGGGTCACGGGATCGAAATTCAGACACTTGGCAACCGACTCCTATTTACGACGGTTGCAGTGTCCCGGGGTCACCTGATCCCCTTTTGCGACCTTCCGACGAGCAAAGTTAAGATTCACTTAACAACCGTTCGACTAATTTAACAACTGCGGTGATCCATTTAACAACTGTGGTGAGGAAGGCTGTAAAAAGGGGGAAAACTCGCTTAACAAATGTTTCACGTAGCAGCAGAAATATTGGACTCAATGGTGGTCGTAAGTCGAGGACTACCTGTACTAGACTGATGTTTCTCGAGCGTAGCCATTTTAAGATGGTGTGGACTTCAACTCCCAGAATTCCCCAGCCAGCCAGCAGGCCATCACAGCCAAGTGACTTAAAAGAAACTAAAACAATTTTCCTCCCTTCCACAAACTGTATTGAACCCACCCACTACCTTTTCACTGAGAGGCGATCTATTGAGGGGGCTGATGCCTTTGTGAGCCCCCAGGGCTTTCCTTGCCGCCAAGCCTGTCTTAATGCCGTAGGCACGCCTCTTCCCCGGCACCTGCTTTCGACGTCCTAAGTAGTTCTTGCCAAAACCTGTGAGGAAAGGAAAAAAAGAGAGAAAGAGAAAGAAAGAAAGGGGGGAGGGAGGGAAGGAAGAGAGGGATGGAAGGAAAAAAAGAAGAAAGGAGGGAACAAGAAAGGAAGAAAAAAGAAGAAAAAGAAAAGAGGGAGGGAGGCAGGAAAAGTTACAACCATTCGTTTAGTGACCGCTAAAAGTTACAACAGCACTGAAAAAAGGGACTTATGACCATTTTGCACATTTATAAGCGTTGCGACATCCCCGCCGTCACCCGATCAAAATTCTGACGCTTGGCAACTGGCCTGAACTTATGACGGTCGCAGTGTCCTGGGGTCACGCAATCCCCTTTGGGTCACCAAGAAAGCCGGATTCACTTAACAACAACTGCGTTGCTGGCTTAAAAAGCACAGTGATTCACTTAACGACCGTGGCAAGAAAGGTCATAAAACGGGGCAAAAACTCACTTCACCAATGTCTCCCTTAGTGGTCGTTAAGTCGAGGACCACCTCGACCAACGACCAATTACTTTAGTTGTCTCTTATCTGGCCCAAAACATGGGCCTTGGACGGTTTCAGGGAAAACAAACCACGGTCCAAACTCAACAAACCTGGATAGTCTTGCATTCCCCACTTGATTCTCCTCATCCGGAACTGTCGCGTGCCGTTCTGCGGAAGGCTTCTCTTCATCTTGGGGGAATTTTGCTTCCTCTCTTCTCTCTTGTTCAACTTAATTATGTCATCTGCGAAAAGAGAAATCCGTTTGGCGTTGAAGAATGTGGCGGCCCAGGCAAAGCGCCCAGACAGGTGGTCCTCAACTTACAACGGTTCGCTGAGTGCATAGGTGGGTTTCACACAGAGGTGGGTTGCTACCGGTTCTCCTGAACCGGTAGTGGAAATTTTGAGTAGTTTGGAGAACTGGTAAATACCACCTCTGCCTGGCCCCGCCCCCAATCTATTCGCTGCCTCCCGAGTCCCAGCTGATCGGCTAGAAGGAAAAAATCAGGGCTCACTTGACAAAGAAAAGAGAAAAGAAAAAAAAAAACAAGACACCGTCACTTTAAATTGAGAAGCCAAGAAGCCTCCCAGCTGATCGGCTAGAACCGATCTGCTCCTTGTAAACTGCTCGGTGGTGGTAGATTGGCAATTGAGGCCAAGCTGCCTGAAAGCGATTCCCGATGCTCTCGGTGGTGGCCGAGCGGCAAAAAACTGTTTAAACTCTTGCCGCGGCATTTCAAAGAGTCGCCCTACAGCTGATCAGCGGTAAAAGGCAGTGTCGTGGTAGACTGGTGCACTCCAAAAACAAATGGGTAGACCGGTACGGCTCTGCAAGCAGTTAAAAGCCTGGTAGACCAGTACCTCTGCTAAATCCTAAAGAATTATTTGGCCAAAAAACCCACAGTGACTCTGAGATAATTGAACAGACAATGGCTGAAAGCCAGATCTGCTAGAGATGTTTCTCTCAGGCCGACTGAGTCAAAACTGGGCCTGAGAGGAAGGAACAAGGGGCGTGGTCAAAAAACTATGACTCCCCTTGACGTGAGTGACATTGAGTTGACCACGCCTACCCAGTCACATGACCCTAAAGCCACGCCCACTGTCACATGACCATCAAACCACGCCCACAAAATAAGCCAGGCCCACAGAACTGGTAAGTAAAAAAATTTAGAATCCAACCCTGGTTTCACATATTTTTACCACCAGTTCGCCATACGCGCATCTTCCACGTATGTGCCCAGAGCCTTAAGCGCACGCACCCAGCCTTCCACGCATGCATTTTGCTCATGCATGCGCCTTCCGCGCACGCACCCAGCCTCAAAAATGTGGCTAAATAGGACAGCATAGTGCTGGGGCTGAGATCTCTGCTACCAGTTCGCCTAAACCGGTCTGAACCGGCTGAATACCACCTCTGACTTAGTGACCGTAGCAAAGTTACAACCGCACTGAAAAAAAATTGACTTGGGACCGTTTTTCACGCCCTACTACAACCGTTGCAGCATCCCCAGGGTCACGTGATCAAAATCCGCTTGACAACTGGTTCATATTTATGACAGTTGGGTGTCTCCCAAAGTCACGCGAGATTCCCTTTGGTGACCTCCTGACAAGGGAGAGTCAATGGGGACGCCAGATTCACTTAGCAACCGTGTGACTCACTGAACAACCGTGGTGATTCACTTAACCAAGGTGGCGAGAAAAGCCATAAAATGGGGCAAAATTCACTTCACAAACTTCTCACTTACAAACGTAAATTATGGGTCGCACCGTGAGGACTTCCTGTAACCCTTCCACCAAGTGCAGGAAATGCTGCAATTTTTATTCGGTCCCCAGGAACAGTAAATCAAAATCCTGAATGGATCATTTAAATCGGGGATGGGGAACGATGGCCCTTTTATATGACTTGTGGGCTTCAACTCCCAGAATTCCTGAGCCAGCCATGATGGACTTCAACTCCCAGAATTCCTCAACCAGCCAAGACAGACTCCCAGAATTCCTCAACCAGCTATGATGAACTTCAACTCTCAGAATTCCTTAACCAGCCATGACGGATTCCCAGAATTCCTCAACCAGCCATAATGGACTTCAACTCCCAGAATTCCTCAACCAGCCACGCTGGCTCAGGAATTCTGGGAGTTGAAGTCCACAAGTTATAAAGAGGACATTGTTCCCCACTCCTGATTTAAATTAAATCTTGTACGGTCCAGTTAGTATTACTGCATACCGTTTACCATCATCCACAGCCCTTCCCAGAGGACAAATCACAAGTCAGCAACCTACAGCCTTCTGTTGCTCTCTTCACAGCACCTACCCAACCTCTGGGGATCCATTTATTCTAAATTGCATCAAGCTAGGAGCCTCAGAACATTTTGGCCAGATTAACCTTGTGCTCTGCTGGTTTGCTCTCCGTTGTAAGTGCTCAAGATAGAAACCACAGACCGCAACAGCTGGAAGGGAACGGAAGAGCAAACCAGGAGCTGAAGGGATCCGCTCCAAAAACAGGGAGCAGGCAACTCCTTGGAAAGGTGGGTCTGTACTAATCTTAGGCAGTAAGGTGGCTGGGTGACTTTGGCCCAATGACCAGGAGACTAGTGAGTTCTAGTCCTGCCATAGGCATGAAAACTGAGTAACTTTGGGCCAATCACCAGGAGACAGTGAGTTCTAGTCCCACCTTAGACAATAAGCTGACTGGGTGATTTTGGGCCAATGACCAGGAGACAGTGAGTTCTAGTCCCGCCTTAGGCATGAAAGCTAGCTGGGTGACTTTGGGCCCATCACCAAGAGGCGAGGAGTTCTAGTCCCGCCTTAGGCAGTAAGCTGGCTGGCTGACTTTGGGCCAATCACCAGGAGACGGTGAGTTCTAGTCCTGCCTTAGGCAGTAAGCCGGCTGGGTAACTTTGGGCCAATCACCAGGAGACAGTGAGTTCTAGTCCCGCCTTAGGCAGTAAGCCGGCTGGGTGACTTTGGGCCAATCACTAGGAGACAGTGAGTTCTAGTCCCGCCTTAGGCAGTAAACTGGCTGGGTAACTTTGGGTCAATCACCAGGAGACAGTGAGTTCTAGTCCCGCCTTAGGCAGTAAACTGGCTGGGTAACTTTGGGCCAATCACCAAGAGGCGAGGAGTTCTAGTCCCGCCTTAGGCAGTAAGCTTGCTGGGTGACTTTGGGCCAATCACCAGGAGACAGTGAGTTCTAGTCCCGTCTTAGGCAGTAAGCTGGCTGGGAAATGAAAGTCAGGATTCTTCCGGAATTAAACGGATGGAAAAAAACAAAAAAGGTTAGGATGGGGGAAAAAAATGCCCTGAGCAAGGATTGGACTCCGTGGCCCATGAAGCCCAGCTCAGCCCGACCATTAATTCAGTAAAACGAGAAATGAGATCTGCAAAAAAAAAGGGCATTTTCCTCCTTCTCTGGTTGAGAGGCTGAAAAAAGCTTTTGTGTGGCCCAAAGGGACGAATTCAAATCTGACCCGCTTACGAAATCTCTCCGTGATGGCTCCCCGGAGACAGTTTTTTTCCCCCAATTCATTTCCCAACGTTATTAACTCTCTTTAACAAATAGCTTTCTCCCTGGAGCCGGCCCGCGATCAAATAGGCGATGTTAAGAGAAAAACAAAACGAAGACGGTGGAGATGAATTGGCTAAATTTCCTCCTCCGGCCGTCCCTCTTTTTTTTTTTTTTGGAAATCTGAAGTTGAAACAAGGGCGCCCGAAGATTTCTAAGCCGGGATATGCTGAGTTGAATGACAATGGCTTTTGGGTCAAAGGAAATCAGGGACGCTCAGAAGTGCTAAGAGAAGTCTCACCACCTTGGCGTCTTTGCAAGTGGAACCTATTTTTTTTTTTCGGTGAAAGCATCTTAAATTGGCTCTTGTTGTTCTCCGTATTTAAACATTCAAGTCTCCGGCTGGCAAAAGAGAATTTAATTTCAATTCGTTGCCACGAGAATTGCAGGAGACAGAAAAGCTCCAATAGAAGAAAAAGGCCAACTATCCCTATCCCTATCCCTATCGCTATTCTATGCTATTATATTATACCAGGAGTCGGCAACCCGTAGCTCTGGAGCCGCATGTGGCTCTTTCGTCCCTCTGCTGAGGCTCCCTGTTGCTGGTCGGCTCCACAATTGATAGTTTCGGTTAGGACAGGTAGAGGAAAAAGGGTGCTAGGCTAGGAGGAGACTCTATGGTGGGGGAACTGGACTTCTGGTCGGCAGAGGAAAAAGGACGCCGTGCTAGGAGGAGACTCTATGGTGGGGGAACCGGACTTCCGGTCGGCTCCAGAATTGAATGGGGGCTTCCGGTTAGGATCTTTGTGGCTCCTTAAGTGTTTAAGGTTGCCGACCCCTGTACTATACCCATGATGGCGAGCCTATGGCACGTGTGCCACAAGTGGCACGCGGAGCCCTCTTTGCAGGAAGGCGAGCCGTCGCTCAGCTCAGCTCCACTGTGCATGTGCGCACGCCTCCCGCCGGCCAGATGATTTTTGGCTCTCTGGCGGGGGGCAGATGCAGGAGGCTCGTGCGCATTTGTGGGGGTCTCACGCGCATGCATGGGGGCAGGAAGGGGGTCTCGTGCGCATGCACAGGAGGTGGGAGGAGCGCGAGGGGAGCGGTGCGCCCTCCCATGCCAAATTGGGCCACCTGGGGGGGTGCGGCACCCTCCCAGGCCCAAAACGGGCTGCGGGATGTGTGTGTCGTGGGCGCATGTGCAGGGGGTGGGGGGACTGCGAGGGGGGTGGTCGCACACGCATGCGGGGGGGCATTGCATTATAAGTGTGGGCACGCACGTGCACGACCCCCCCCCTACGCTCCCCTGCTTTTGGCACCTGACGGCAAAAAGGTTAGCCATCACTGTACTATACTATACTAATTGTTATTACTATACTATAACTAACTATAACTATACTATTATACTATACTATACTAATTACTATACCATGCTATACTGTTATACTATATCCGTGATGGCAAACCTATGGCATGCATGCCACAGGTGGCACGTGGAGCCATATCAGTGGGCACGCGAGTGTTGCCTTGCTCAGCTCCAGCGTGCATATGTGCACCGGCCAGCTGGTTTTCGGGCCTTCCAGACCCACTGGAAGTTGGGAAATGGGCCGTTTCCGGCCTCTGGAGGGCCGAAGTGGGGTGGGGAAGGCTGTTTTTGCCCTCCCCGGGCTCCAAGAAAGCCTCTGGAGCCTGGGGAGGCAAAAAATGGGCCTACTGGAGGGAATGGCTGGCCCAAGGTTACCCAAC